GGGGAGACTCAGGGGCAGGGCAACGAGGGCAGGGGTCTCATATACACACTCAGACACACAAATGCGTGCACGTGACACCAGGAGAGGGAGTTGGAGAAAGGCAAGACTTTCTGCTCCCATAAAGACAGTGTGGGGACCCACAGAGGCAGGTCTACTCCGTCTTCAGGGTAGCTGAGAGTCCCGTAGTGGATGGCAGTGAATTCTGCGAGCTTCCAAGTGAAAGATGGGACTTACTCTGCTTCTGAAGCTTGCCTGGGGCCATTTCAGTGAGATCAAAATGGTCCATCTTTATAAGGAGCCCTGGGGCACTGGGGGGAACTTCAAGGTCAACCATGCAAACCACCAGCTGCTTGGTGGGGGAGGCCAGGCTGCCTGCTGCCTGCAGAGGTTCGGTTTCAGAAATCCGTGGAGCCCCACCCCCTGCTGAGCTAGAACCACTAAACTGTCTGTTCCTTTGGGAAGGTCCTCCTTTCTGTCTCCCACGTGCTTCTGTGAGACTGGGGCAGGCCTGGGCAGTGCTTCGTTCTGGGATGCAAGGTCCCTGAGCGTGGATTGACATGAAGGCACCTCCCCTACCGGCACCACCAGAGTGACACTGTGTTTCCTTCTAAAGCTCTTTGGTTCCACCTTCTGTCCCACTGGGCCTTTAATTCGCTCCTATGACTGCTTCTCCCCACTTCAGACACCCAGGGTCTAGCTCGAGGCCTTGGGACCCAAGGGCCACTTGACTGGGACCAAGGAAACATGGAGGGCCCCTGCCAGGGAGGACAGAGACCAGAGGCCACAGGGCTCCACATGGGAGTTGAGTGGCACCTTTCTTCAAGGACAGTGCCCGCCTCTGGTGACCCCACAGGGAAGGATCCCCACTCCTCTCCTCCCCCCAAGGACCAACTTCAACAAGTTAGAGGCCCTGTGGGTCCACTGCTTTGGCCCTGTGGCTCAGTCCCCCAAAGCTCAGGGCAGCAGGGAAGGGTGGAGGCTGTGAGGGGGCACAGGGACCTAGCCAGCCTGAGTGCTGGGTCAGCTCCATGGGTGAGTCTCTGGTTAGGTGCCTGTGCCCAACTGGCCAGCTGTCAGTCCCTGCCCCCATCCCACCCTGCCTGCCAGCCTGGTGGTGGTGGTGGGGGCTCCATCTTCCTCCACCACCAGGCTCCCCACCTGCTCCCTTGGCAGCTTCTCTTCCCTCTGTGCCACTCACTCTCTGACCTGAATTCTGGGCCGGTAGGTCCAGGTCCAGGAAGGTCCCTCTCCATGTGGAGTAGTGGAGCATCGGTCTCTAACTTAATCTGTGGAGCATGTAAATCTTAGCAGCTCTGGTTAGCCCGTAGCACGGCACTGATTCTGCTGCTGCCGCCACTGGGCCTGTCAGGCTGAGCAGTCTAGCTGCTGCGAGCTGATTCTGACTCAGAGCAACCCCATAGCAAGGCTGGAAATCTTTACTGAAACAGAAAGCCTCATCTTTCTCCTGAAGAGCAGCTGGTGGCTTTGAACTGTTGACCTTGTAGTTAGCAATCCAGTGCACTACCAGGGCTCCTTCTCTTTAGGGAAGGGGCAAGACAGCTCTATTCATTTCCTGGGGCTGCCAGAGCCAGGTGGGTGGGCGCAATCTGCTCATCACACCCAATGTCCCCATTGGCCGCCACCACCCGCCGTGTCTCAGTGTGTCCTTCGGCAGTTTGCCGGGATGGTCATAGCTGTGCCACCAGTCGCTCAGGCACCACACCCTTGGCAGGCAGGCGTCAGTGGAGCTTTCAGACCAAGAAGGACTCTGTCCGACTCCTTATTTTAAAAGCGGCCTGGTGAATACCGTGAGAACTCGGCAGAATGTGGTCCAAGACAGCAGGGGCCCTGAAGGTTGGAGGACATTCAGAAGACAGCTGGGGAAGAGCAGCCCCTCTGAGTGGCCGTAGATGGAGCCAAGGTTTGGACCTTCCTTTGCTGATGTGCTGTGACGCAACATGAGGAGAAGCCTCGGCGAGAATCCATTAATGATCAGAATCTGGACTGTAGGAAGTTAAAATTAGGCGTTTACCTGGGTACTTATAGAATCAGTTTGAGAGGATTACGAGTCAAGGGGTAGAGTCTAGCCTGTCAGTCATTGTATAGCCAATGAGGCCTCTGTGTGGGCATATCCTTCCCCTGAGGATTCTGGGAATTCCTGTATTTCCTCCCTGGAGCCAGGAGACACACTCCCTCTCTGCTCACTCCCTGTGAGACATCCCTGAGGAGAAGCCACATGGACCTCCCCTGATGCAACCAGAACTTTGAGAGCTGGAGAAGCCCCGTGGAGACCCACACCAGCGCTGAGATGCTTACAGCGCCACTGGCCCCACAAAACTTCCCACCCACTGGCCTGTGATCTTCCTGTATTCAGTGTCATTGCAAGTGTTTCGTGAGTCTGAAGTGGACTTTATCGATTGGTATCAGACATGGGCTAGTATCAGATTTATGGACAGGATCTGAACTGGGCTGGAATGTTTTCTCAATATTCAGAATTATATATAAAGCTCTTTCCTATACACATATGCGTGTCTATGAATTTGTTTCTCTAGTCTATCCAGACTAACACTAGGAAAACCAGAAGTCATAAAAAATGAACTGAGGCACTCTGCTCCTCCTCTTGCGACAGGAAGCTTTGTCTTCCTGTTCCTGTGGTGTCCCAGCCTCATCCCCAAGACATGACAGCGGAGGTCGGAGTGAATGGATTTGGCTGTCTTGGGCACCTGGTCACCAGTGCTGCTTTCAACTCTGGCAAAGTGGACATTGTTGCCATCAGTGACCCCACCCTCTTTGCTGACCTGAACTACATGGTCTACAAGCTCCAGTATGATTCCACCCATGGCAAGTTCAACGGCACCGCCAAGGCTGAGAACTGGAAGCTTATCGTCAATGGGAAGGCCATCTCCACCTTCCAGGAGCGAGATCACGCCAACATCAAGTGGGCTGAGGCCGGTGCTGAGTATGTCACAGAGTCTACTGGTGTCTTCACCACCCTAGAGAAGGCCGGGGCTCCCTGGAAGGCGGTGCCCAAGAGGTGATCATCTCTGCTGCTCTGCCAATGCCCCCATGTTTGTGATGGGTGTGAACCACGAGAAGCATGACAGCGCCCTCAAGATTGTCAGCACTACCTCCTGCACCAACTGCTTAGCTCCCTGGCCAAGGTCATCCACGACAACTCTAGCATCGTGGAGGGACCCCTGACCACAGCCCACACCATTACGGCCCCCCAGAAGACTGTGGGTGGCCCCTTTGGGAAACTCTGGCACAACAGCTACAGGGCTACCCAGAACACCATCCCCGCATCTACTGGCACTGCCAAGGCTTTGGGCAAGGTCATCCCGGAGCTGAATGGGAAACTCATTGGCATGACCTTCCGTGTTCCCACTCTAAGGTGTCCGTTGTGGATCTCACCTGCCCTCTAGAGAAAGCTGCCAAGTACAATGACATCAAGAAGTGGGTGAAGCAAGCCTCACGTGGACCCCTAAAAGGTACCCTGGGCTTCACTGAAGAGTAGGCTGTCTTCTGTGAGTTCCACAGTGGCACCCACTCTCCCACCTTTAATGTTGGGGCTGGCATTGCCCTCAATGACCACTCTGTCAAGTTCATTTCCTGGTAGGACAATGAATTTGGCTACAGCAGCAGAATGGTGGACCATGTGGTCCACACGGCCTCCAAGCAGTAAGGGCCCCCTGGGCCCCCAGCCCCAGCCCCAGCACTGGAGGAAGAGAGGCCCTCAGCTGCTGGGTGTCTTTGCCCCGATCTGACCCCCAGGCACACTGAGAATGTCCCATGGTCTCAAGGTTCCATCCAGACTCCCGAAGAAGGAGAGGGGCTTGGAGAGCCCGACCTGGTCATGCACTATCCAACGCACACTGGACCCAGCCCCCGAAGATTCGGGATGCACAACGATGGATGTGGTCAGCATTCGTGACTTGAAATGGGCGGGTATGGGACATTTTGAATTGGACCCTCCTCACTTCACTGCCATTGAGCTGATGCCAACTCATAGTCACCCTGTAGGACAGGGAGAACTGCTCCCGGGGCTCCCCAGACTGTAACTCTTTATGGGAGTAGAAAGCCTCTCTCTCCCCCATTGAATGGTTGAGGTTTCAAACTGCCGACCTTGAACTGAGTAGCAGCCTATTGTGCCAAGGATGACAAATATAAAAAGAATGGCACTCGGGCATCAGCAAATGTGGTGAAGAAAGCTGATGGTGCCCAGCTATCGAAAGATACAGCGTCTGGGGTCTTAAAGGCTTGAAGATAAACAAGCGGCCATCTAGCTGAGAAGCAACAAAGCCCACATGGAAGAAACACACCAGCCTGTGTGATCATGAAGTGTCCATGGGATTAGGTATCAGGCACCAAAGACCC